CTCTCTGGGCCTGGATTCTGGCTCACTCGTCTCATCTTCAAATCGCTGGCATAAATTTGAGTCAAGACTTAGGCTACTGTGTGAAGCGGTAAATCACGTTTTTGCCTCTTACTTTCTTCTCCTTTCTTTACGAAATAATGCGATCATTTCATCTTGACTGGAAAAAATCTAATGACCGCATACGAAGCTCCATGGTAGCATTCATATCCATGTCAGACTAGATCCAACTTTTGACCAGAGCTTTGCGAGGTGTCATAAAAAAGTTTTCTTCAGACAAGCCGACGGACTACTCTTCCTCCTTTCGAGATAAAAGTCAAGATACTTGCTATATCTGTAACAATAAAAGGTCACTGGGCAACAGAATGTCCATATCGTCAAGAAAGCAAGACACAAAGGTCAAGATACATGTTATAATTGTCAAGAGAGAGGACATTGGTCTTCAGACTGCCCTAAGAAACAACCAGAGCTGAAGGAGGAAGAAGAAGAGGTACCCTCGGCAAAGAAAGAACCAATAGAAATTCTGAAAGAGAATACAGAAAAGAAATGAAGGCATAATAAAGGAAGGATATATATATATATATATATATATATATATATATATATATATATATATATATATATATATATATATATATATATATATATATATATAACAGAGAGTGAACCAAACAAAGACACAGAAGAAGTCTATGAACTTTCTAAAAAAGTGTTGTGTTGTGTTGTGAATTAGATTGTAAATATTTGTACCAGAAAAAAAACAGACTGTAAAAACGTACGTGTCTCCTGGTTTCGAATTTTTTTTTAGAATAAAGGCTACGCTCACGCTTTCACACACGTTCATCATAGGTATACAAAATATAAAAAGGATTTTAAAGTTTCATCGATTTTGGCAAAATGAATATTAACTCTATTCGAAGAATTGCCGCAAAGAATAGCATTTATGTTATCATAAGTTTTTCTCTCATCAAATGGCGCTGGACCAGCCTTATTTAAAATAAAAATGTATATGTGATGATGTTTGGATCAATTTAACTTCATCTCTTGGTAATTAATAGTTTTAATTAATATTTAATATTGTAGGTGTCATTTGCTAGGTAACTGAACATATTGATCATTGTTTTAGAACCATTTGTAAAGTCACTGATATCAGTTAATCACATATCTATTGATCTAGTGTATGAATTATTATATCAATCAATAAAGCAAGGTAATATATTTATACAAATAATTCACATTTAAATCTAGACAGTTATATTAAGCCCCCCCTAAAGCAGATGCGTTTTAATCTCATTCAGTAGAACAGTATTAAAAATATTTCTCCAATATTTTCCTTAACGTTTGTTTTCAAATTCGTTTCATGCATCGAACTGTATCTTTTATGTATGTATGTATGTATGTATGTATGTATGTATGTATGTATGTATGTATGTATGTATGTATGTATGTATGTATGTATGTATGTATGTATGTATGTATGTATGTATGTATGTATGTATGTATGTATGTATGTATGTATGTATGTATGTATGTATGTATGTATGTATGTTTCCTTCTTATCTATACTCTTTGCTTGTTTGGTTGATGAAATTCGTGGTTATTCTAGTTTTGTTTAAATCATATGCGACGGATCTAGGGAGATGAGGTATTAAGATATACAGTGAAACCCCTCAAAACCAGAACTTCAGTATACTGAAATCCCCTCCTGATAGACATTTTTGTGGAGGTGAACCTGAATTTTCCCTTTTTTAATATTTATAGTGCTATTTTTCTTATTAAGTAAGTACTACTCTACTTTGAAAAAAGAAACAAATTTCGATCTCATATTTCAAGTTCACACTAAAACAAACTCCTAATGAAACCGAAACTAACTTCAAACTTAGAATTTTAGCTGCTAAATTCCTGACACGCTTAACCAGATTTGTTACACAGATGATGTCAGGCAAAATTATTATCTAACAGTAGTCATCTTTTAAGGTAAATTATTAATAACTAAAAGCTTGTCGATAATGCATCTTAGAAAGGTTATGTTGATCTGCTTTTTCTAATCGTGAGTGATACTGTTAGTTTGTATAAATGATCCGTAGAACATGTTACTGTTTTTATTGTTGTTTTGTTGTTTTTATTTTTTAAAATTTAAATACTAAAGTTTTATTAACCATGCACGCCTTGCTTTTCTAGAAGTATTTTGAAAGTCAGAGTCACTCAAATGATTTGCAAAGGAGAAATCACTACATGCATGCAGTTAAGTGACCATGACAGTCAGTTTTCATGACTCGCATGTAAAGATGTCAGAGTGACTTGATTGTATTATCCTTAAAGGATAAACTTGGTCTCATCAATGCTTATAAATATTTGTCAAAACCTACGTTGACGAAAATTTGGCACAGAAACATTATGAATTATATGGAGTACTGAAACATAGTAGACAACATTCAAAATTTCAATGGACTAAGGTTATATTAAAATATATCGTTCGTTAAATATTTCTTGACATGATGACTATATTTATGTGAGTAACAACTGTATTTATTAATGTGACTGTATGCGATATGCGTTTATCTATTTTTTCTTTATATGTCTTTTTTATATTAAAAAAAACACACACACCCCCAACTTTCTTAATTTAATTTTCCCTCTTCCGTTAAGGTCTGTTTTCAAGAAATGTGTATGAGCTTTTATTTTCCATGTTCGTATTTTATTTAAATCAGTTGTGGATCTTGAATATAAGTTTTTTATGAATAAGATCTACATTGAGACATCTCCTAGCAATATATTGTACAATGCCGAGGAACACACCCAACAAAAATTGCTGTAGTTATTATTGCGACAGCAGCAGAAACAACAACCACCACTACAATTACTAATGCTTGTTGACTTAACATAGATTAACATTTTTGTTGTAGTGGTCTAGAGTGTCATCATTCAACCTGGCGTCCAATTTTCTGTTGAGTACTGTATTTTAAGTCTTGTTATCAAAAGAGTACAAAGTGACTTGAAGCGCCTTCTAACACCTCTAACACTCTGAGCAAAACAAAAACTTGAAATGATAAAGGCGACAAAGAAAGAAAGGATGTAAACGATAGGCATCCTCACTTCGTTTTAATCTTGTTGTGCACATTCTATATGGCTGTCGTTCGTTGTTTGCAGTCTGTGTGTTGTGAGATAAAATGTTCAGTTGGTAAAGGGTTGAGGCTTTGATACCATCCCTGGCCTGACTGAACCAACGAACTAATGAATGAAAGAATGCATAAAATCACAACCTCCCATTAACAAAGGTCCGGATTGCATTATTTACTAAACCTATCGAACGTTTAGAAAACTACTCAATAGTTTTTGCTCTACTTTTCATGAAAATATAAAATAGCAGAAGCTGAAGTTGATCTTTCCACTGCATTACATCAGCTACAATGCCCAATGCCTATACGATCTTATTGCATTTTTTACTAAATCTATTGAACGTTTAGAAAACTACTCAATAGTTTTTGTTATAATTTTCATGACAATATAAAGTAGCCGAAGCTGAAGTTGATCTTTCCACTGCATTACATAAGCTACAATGCTCAATGCCTATACGATCTTATCTCTGAATTGCATAAGCCTATTCGCTATTATCTCTGAATTATATCAACTACAATAACCAATGCCTCTTTGATTTTATCACTGAATTACATCAAGAACAATGATCAATATCTCTTCGATTTTATTATTGAATTACATCAACTACAATCAATGCTCACTCCCTCTTCTGTCTTATACCTGAATTGCATCAGATGAATTGCTCTATGCCTGTTCGATTTAATCATGAAAATAATCAGTACAGTGCTCAATGGCTCCTCTCTCCAAACTCAACAGTAACGATATTTGTTTTGTCTGTTGAACACGTCGCAGAAGGTCTCTATACCAAAGTCTGACTGATTACCGTTTGCGCTTTATATTTCTTCAATTTCGTTTTAATATTTTCGGCTAATGTGCATGCAGATTTCCAGAAATAAATAAATAAACAATAAATAAATAAATGATAATAATAGTACTACTACTACTACTACTACTACTACTACTACTACTACTACTACTACTACTACTGACAATAATAATAATAATAATAATAATAATAATAATAATAATAATAATAATAATAATAATAATAATAATAATAATAATAATAATAATGATGATGATGATGATGATATATGGCATGGAATCAACAACAAAAAAGGAGGAAAAATAAGGCTTGGAAATAGAGACTCACCTCTAAGAGGCAATCATGAACCCTAGAACAGGGACTCAGGGTGTTAGAAGGTGCTTCAAGTAAAAAAAAATATAATACAATATATATATATATATATATATATATATATATATATATATTTATATATATATATATATATATATATATATATATATATATATATATATATATATATATATATATATATATATATATATATTCTTGTTTGCTTTGATATAATGATGAATAAAACGAGGTTCAGCTTTATGTTCTCTTTAAGCCGTTGTCACAAACTATTCATTTTTGTTTTTGACAAATAGCATTTGTTACAACATAATCGTTCTTGCTGTTTTCCGCGTCCAATTAACTAAGAGAGGTATGGAAAACCTCTTACAAGGAAAATAATTCCAAAAGGATTTATTTTTCTAGTAGACATTAAGCATTATAAGAAAGAAGGATAATTCATTGTGTGTTTGTTTTCGCGTTTCAATGCACGTGACTGAAGGAAATTCTCCTTGTTATTACTAATACTTTCCAATTATGCAACGACGTATTTTAAATCGAATCTGCCTGTCTTCGTTGTAAGCTTTTCGTACCTATTTCATTATTACAATCTTGTTTTCTGCAGGAAAATTTAGAACGAATACAAGTTAAATTTTTATCTCCTGTAAGTATGGACGTGGCTAGCAGTCAGAAGGATCGAAGTCGACTTGATAAGATTTTGTTCAATCGTATAGCTAGGTGGCGAAAACATTTACTCTTTAACCACTTCGGTGGCCTAGTGGTTAGAGCATCCGCCTTGGATGCGAGAGGTCGTAGGTTCGTTTTATACCAAAGACTTACGAAATTGGTACTAACAGCTGCCTCGCTTGACGCTCAGCATTAAGAGGTTAGTGTTAGCACTGGTCGGCCTGGTGTCAGGATAATGTGACTGAGTGGGACATCATGCTACAAGTCTGCGGCATGATGCCCCAGTGCTAGACATCACTATAAACTGCCACACTGCAGACATCGTAGCGATATGACTGAAAAATTGTTAAAGCTCCTTTAAAAAATATAAATACCACCACACCACAGATAGGTGGTGAAAATATTTACTCTTTAACCACTTCGGTGGCCTAGTGGTTATAGTGTCCTCCTTGGATGTGGGAGGTCGTATGTTCGTTTCATACCAAAAATTTACAAAAATGGTACTCACAGCTGCCTCGCGTGGCGCTCAGCATAAAGAGGTTGGTGTTAGGACTGGTTGGCCTGTTGTTAGGATAATGTGACTGAGTCTGTCTGCGGCATGATTCTCCAGTGCTAGATATCACTATAAACTGTCACTCTGCGAACATCGTAGCGATACGACTGAATTGTTTTTAAAGCTACGTTAAAATTTTAATCACACACAGACACACACATACACACACATAGACATACACACACAGAGATTTACTGTTGCACCGTCTCGGTTGAATACGGTACATAACAACTATAATCAAGAAGATAAAGGGAAGCTTTGAGAACCTAATTCGCTTTTATAAGCCAATCAAACAGAAATAAAATCTTTGTGTCTAAATTGTATTGACGGCATGGTAAACTCGTGTAACATTACTTACCCTGCTAGCTCAGCCATAAACCTCTTTAGTTTCATTTTCAAAGATAAACACCCTACCCCACTCCTCAAGGCAAAACAAAGTTTTCAGAAACAAACACCACAAGTACAATTCCTTTTTATTCTGACAGTATGATTCCTAACTCAGCCACCCCAGTTCCACGGTTTTCTCTTCGAAACTGAAACCCAATTATTTTTAATGCGTTGCGAACTAAGTGAGTGAGGAAGTTTTACTCCTCACTGATTCGAATATTTTTGTTTTTGTACACACGCTCTCTAAGTCCACTGAAAGATGATTGAACGAAGATGGTCGATAGACGTGGACGTTAACAGAAGTCTCAATTTCTGGAAGCAAATGGATAGAATTTGACTGCTCGTCTGTCCTGTAATAAATCTTAAAGATGATCTCTAGAATTCAGAAGCTGACTGTAAATCATAGGCAATAAAATGAAAAATAAAGATGATCGATACATGCTAAACTCTTGAAGCATAAATTCTGAAAACTGAAGACATCCCCTCACGCTCTCATTCAGATACTTTTAAGGTTTTGATCCATATGCTATAATTAAACATATGAATCATTATTTTATATTTTCAAATTTATACAATTGAAAACTTTTTTGAAATAAATAATGGACTCCGATTTTAAGCATCAAATGAACGGAAAACCTTACTTTTGTCCGTTAACGCTTATGTTAATATAGAAATCTATAGAGATTAAATATAATACACATAATATACTTATTTCATGTACAAATAATTGAACACTCTAGACAATTTCACTTTACGATTTGACGATGACGATTCAACGAACTATTATAGAGCACAGTGTAATATGAATTATGGAAAAATTAATACCTTTATTAGATTGCATTTCGACGTTCCATTGGTCAGCTGCCTTATTTTCGTCATAATTTTAAATGCAATATTATTTTCCATATTATATATATTACTTAACATTTTAAATTGTGCGTTATTGTTCTAAAAGCAATGTTCCATGTACATCATTCCAATTGTTTTGATTATTAATTTGTTTTATTTATTATTGTTTGCTCAAACAAATTACACTAACAAACTGGTAAAATACTGGACTAATCTGTCCTCACAAATATGAATAGTGTTCTTTCTCAAGTTTATGCTTGCAAATATATGAGTAATTCTACATATATTATTTGTATTTGTAAATTTGATATAAATGTTTTTATTGCTTCAGTTGGAAAATTCGTGCCTGCTTTAAACTGTATTTTCTTCTCTTGTTTTAGCTCATTAATGATATGTATGTATCGTCTCTCGTTTGTTTAAGGTTCTACTTAACAGACCTTTATACGTTTAGCACTTATAATATATCAGTATGAATAATGTTGACACACATTCACCAATTTTTTTTTTAGCAAACTCCTTTTGTCTGCTATTCGCTGGTCAATGATAGTAACGAGGTTTTGCCCAGATTAAATAGTTTAACACCCTTGATACTGACATAGTATACCATCCTCTATACTGAAATAGTATACTATCCTTTATACTGAAATAGTATACCACCCTCTAAGCTGAAATAGTATATTATTTTCTGTACTGAAATAGTATACCACCATCTATACTGAAATAGTATATCACCCTTGATACTGACATAGTATACCATCCTCTATACTGAAATAGTATACAACCATCTATACTGAGATAGTATACCACCCTCTATACTGAAATAGTATACTATCCTTTATACTGAAATAGTATATCACCCTCTAAGCTGAAATAGTATATTTTTTTGTACTGAAATAGTATACCACCATCTATACTGAAATAGTATATCACCCTTGATAATGACATAGTATACCACCCTCTATACTGAAATAGTATACTCTCCTTTATACTGAAATAGTATACCACCATCCATACTGAAATAGTATACCACTCTTGATACTGATATAGTATACCATCATCTATACTGAAATAGTATACCACCATCCACACTGAAATAGTATGCCACCCTTTGTACTGAAATAGTATACCATCTTCATCTACTATATTACAAAATTTTTATATTGATTTGTTCAAGTATACAAACTTCTCAGACATCCTCTCAGTTGGTGTACACCTAATTCGAGACCATGCGTATCCCAGTTACCTTTTATTTTGGATCTGAACGAGATAGCTCCATAACGTTACATACATATTACATAAGGATGTATTCTGCAGTTGTGTCAGAATTATGTTAGTAGTTTATTTGTATGTGTCTGTGATTTAAATTTCAAAATATCCTTCGAAGACGTGCTATCTGGCTTTAAAACCTTAGAGAGAGCGCACACACATACACACACATGCAAACATATAAGGTTTTATATGTTTTGATAACCGTCTAGATAACTTACATTTTATATATTCAATATTTACTACACGGCTAAGTTACATTGCATTTTATATCAGTGAGATCAGTATTAACGCGTTACGATCACATATCTTGAAGAATCAATACGATATAGAATGTTGATGTTCTGGTAGAAATTATACCATTTTAAGTCTTAAGACTAAATTTCGTGAAACGTGTTTAAGTCAACGTCTCAGCATGTAAGTATGAGAATACGTGAACATAAATTATACCATTTCTTATATCGAACATGTTTTAAGTCATCTTTTGTCCAGGAGAATTCAACAGTTTACAGACGGACGTGTATGCTGGATAAATTGCCATTATTCAAAACACACACACACACACACACACATCATTTAAGAAAAAGTATTTTATGGCTGAGCCAGGAAACATACTGTGTGAAATTAAAATGTCGTGAAGGGGTGAGGTGTTAATTTTGAAAGTTAAAAAGGGTGCTTGAATCATCGTGTTGTTACTACTAACATAGCAGATACATATCTACCTATTCCAGATTGAACACGTTTTTAAACTGAAGAGATGGGGCGGGCATTCATTAAAACTGCGACCTATTTTTTTTTTAACCAAACATACATCAATTTTTTCTTCAGTATGAAGAGCCAGGTAACAAGATATACATACTTTCATATTTTATAGTGAAAGGCACAACCACAAAACCCCTCTAAATTTAGGTATGAACTACTTACCTAGGTAGAGACCCTGGAGCATTTTATTCTAGTTTGACCCCATAAAGACATGTGGGGCGTCGCTTTGCAACTTTCATTACATGACGTCGTTAACTGTTTCCTCCTGGAATAGTTTTTTTTCAGGTGCGAAAAAAGCAGTTATCGCTCATTTCCAATCCTTCCCTCCCCACCCCACCATGCCTCAGCTTTAATATAACAAAATAATAAGTTTCGTATACAGCATCAGCATATAATTCAAAACATATCGTTGTCTTTTCATATTTTGAAACTGACACCAAAATGGTTTTTGAAATGGTATACATTATTGTACATTGATACTGGTAGGATGTGAACATGTATGCACAGTATATGTATTCAAAAATTGGGTCTGATTTTGTTGTGTTAACAGATCTCTTGAATTACCTACCACACTCCCTCTTTTAAAGCATTCTTTACCATTTCTCTGACTCAACAACCCATCTTAATCTTAATCAAGAGATAATGGGCGTGCCTGTTTATATATTAAATAATCACTGCCTAATTTATTTGGATGGAGAACGGGGTCTGGAGAGAATGATACACACGTGCAAGTACAAGTTCTGGTGTAACCTTTTTAGTTTTGATTGTCAGTCCGATCTCTTTGAAACCATTTTCCTTTAATCCAAAAGACAGTCTTTGGATTAAAATGAGTTGAACCGTGGCTGTAATAATCTCCGTCTAGTCCATTCAAAGATCAGCCAACCCCCACCCCAACCTAGTCTTTGATCTGCTTTGATTCATTATAGTCGTAATTTGTAATCTATTCTGAAGAAATGACTTCGAAACCAAACACCTGGGAAACTCATAATATTGCTGTAAACATGTTTGTTTCGCCTTGCTTACAATCGTGTAAAGAACTTGATAAAAAAATTTGAAATTTAAGCAATGTCTGGTTTCATGTAGTTAAATAAATAAAATTGTGGAAACAACTCAATTCCAATCTAATTTAATGTAAACAAATTTGCTTTTATAGAAAATCAACAATTTTCATTTGAAAATCTGCTATCGAGGTCATAAAATTGTATGTAGCATCATAAATAAAATTGGAAGGTATGTGGCCTAATTTAAACAAGCGATCTTACAAGTTACTCTCTTTTCCAAATTCATTGAATTAAACTATTAAAAGATTGATGTGTCGAACGGAAATTTAGTCCAGAGTAATACTGTAAAGATTGTTAACATGACTCATATCGCCAGGAATATCGATTTCAATCCTTTGCTTGACTGTTAGGTCAGACCAGTGCGCGCGCGCAATCCAACCCCCAAACACACACACACACACACACACACACACACACACACACACACACACTATGAAAACCATAATTATTGTTTCCATGGTTGCTGATAAATGCTGATTAAACTATTCCAGGAGGAAACAGATAACGACGTCATGTAATGAAAGTTGCAAAGTGACGCCCCCCACATGTCTTTATGGGGTCAAACTAGAATAAAATGCTCCAGGGTCTCTACCTAGGTAAGTAGTTCATACCTAAA